TGGGAGCAGGAAATGCCTCTGAAGACCCAGTTACCTCAAAGACCTCATCATCCAGGATTCGGGCACCAAAGATGAGGACTCCACGGGTGTCCAGAACAGGGCGGGCACTCCGGGGGAGGGGCCGGGTGACCCGCTTCTTACAGTCAACAATTAGGGTGACAGAGTGACCCCTAACAGCTACAGCCACATGATGCCACCTGTGGAAGCGAAGCAAGAAAAAAGAATGACCAAGGAGGATGGCAATGTCTGACAGTGGCCAAGCAGGCAAGTCAATAAGGAGTTGGAGGGTCAGGGAAGTAGTACATTTCAGGTCAGGGGAGAGGTCAGTGGAATTAGGGAATAGCTGGTAGAGAATCAGAGCAGGGGAAATAGTCAGTAGGTAGAGGTGACTCACTTGCCATCAGCCAAGCTAATGCCTCGGAAAGCAGGCAAAGCAGGGGGCCTAGGACGCCCAGTTTGATCTTCATACAGGAATCGGGGAGGCCGGCCAAGCTCTAACCCCAACTGCCGAACACCTTGAGCACTGTACAGGGTCAATAGAGGGGCCTGGAGGCCAGGATTTGGCCGGAGCACAGACAGCAATGAGAAATCAATGGGGAATCCACCTAGAAGGGGGCAAAGAGAAAGAGATGGGAAGAGAGATAGCATCAGAGAGGACTGAGAGAAATAGAGATAAGGGGAATGGACACATATCCCTATCAGATAAGGTCTGACCTTTCCTCTATTATGACATTTGGCCCCAGGTTTTCCTGTAACCTTCAGTAGTCTTCAATTCCCCATCATCCCCATACCTGGGAATAACTGCCTGGTTGGAGCACTGAGTTGGGCAGGCCGTGTCACTCGATAGGCCACATCAGCTGGACAGACACCAACAACCCTCCGGACACCATCAGGGAGTGAAGGAAACTGGAGAGCACGGAGCACATCCACAGGGGGTCCCCCTGGAAGTAAAGGAAGATCAGGGAGCAAGGACTATACCATGAAAAGAATAATTTGGCTTTTGAGTCACAGGCCACAGGGAGATGGTGGTTGGGGTTGGGGGGAGAACACCTTGGATCAGGGCAGATCTGTCCTTAGCATTCTTCACAGGACTCAGAAACTCCCACCCTATCTCTTCCTCTCAATTTCCTTCTGTCTCCATTTATGTGTTCTGCTTTTATCTGTTTTTATCTCTTTCTGTTTCTCACTATTCTCTATCTCTGTTTCTCTCATTCTCTTTATATCTGTCTCATGGCATCTCTGATTGTCTGCCTCTCTGTGTC